AAACAATACGATCGGAGTCCGCTTTACGAAAGATATAATCGATATATGTATATATATATATATATATATATATATATATATATATATATATATATGCAGAGGTGTATCCACTAAAGAACTATTGTTCGACGATGCCTTTATTCTGGTCCTTGCTGTACAGTTTCGTCTGACCCATTTTAGATAGATATTCCGTATCAGAAATTCGCATTTTCAATAACAATGATTTTTTAATCAAATATAACCCTTAATTAAAGGTTAACCCTTTTTTTTTTTTTTTTTTGACGTAGTTCGATTTACATCATATACAAAGTGTCGAATTATAAATGGGAAATACATATTTTGTTCATTTGTTTCTTTTTCATTTTTCATCCAAGTGCAAGGATAAAAATGCATTTGTTATGAATAAAATAAATTTAAAAAATGTATATATAAATTTTTGTTCAAGTATGTTAAAAGGATATCATCAAGTATTGAAAAATGCAAAAGCTTTAAAACTCGTCAAATATACAGGGTGTAACAAAATAAATGGGAAATACTATAAGAATGATAGTATTGTATATCCATCGAAACACAAGAACAAAATATTCATACTAAAATATTTTATTCGATCTTCTTTCAGAGTATTATTGCAAATTGAAGTTTTGACGAACCGAAAAAGAAATGCACTCGCATTTACAGATAAAAAAAATGTTCAAAATAAATTTTTATATTTTCAGCCATTAACCCGAATAATATGTTGGAAAACATTTTTTGTTCGATTCTTTTCACGAATTATTTCCACACTGTTTTGTTCTTTATTTTTTTTGTTTGTTTTTATAGACAATGTATTTTAAATAACTTTTAACAGAATCAAAAAAATTCAACAGAGTTTTTAAATCATGTAAGCAAACAGGGTCACAGACAATAGAACCAACCAGGATCAATCCATTTGTTTAGAAATGGTACGCGTTTTACAAAAATTTCTTCAACTAGTCGATAAAAATACAACGATGTTTAATCGTAAATCACGCACAACGGTATCTGATAATCAATTTTGGAAATTATTATTAAAATAATTATATCGATAATTAACACCATAATAATTTCAAATAGAACACATTATATAGTTTATATGAATTTATATTTTTTTCACTTATTCTCTGTTGTTACACCTTGTATATATATATATATATACCTCGTATTTTATTAACAAAAAGGTGGATATACGTGTACAAACGATTTAACGAAAAACACCATAAAAAGGGAAAATAAAATTACTTTATACACATATTGTCTCTATTAATATATTTTTTTATTCTTTTTGTTTCAATCGACACGAAAAGGAAAGGAAAAACAACGTACGATGATTAATCCCAATAATTGAAACAAAAAAAAAAAAAAATAAAAAAACTGAACGAGTTCATCGTTGATATCGAAAGATATAATATACTGTTACAACGTTTGTACCACCAACAAGTGTTCGTCTCACGCGTTTTCCTAATATTAATTCTGACTGTCATATTCTGTCAACAAAAAATCTTCTCACACGTGTTTCTAAAAGTCAATCGATTCGTATAATACAATTGATTAACGCAAAATGTTTATTAACGAAGAGAAATAATGAATCAAATGTAACGAATTGAATGAATTCAAATGGAAATTAGGTGCCATTCATTTTTCGTTTATACCCTTTTTTTTTTTTTTTCTAAAATAATACAAAACAATATAAATAAGTATTTTCAATGCCAGGAATATAATATGTGTATTTTAAATACACATGCCCACAAAAAAAAAAAGAAAAATAAACTAACTGAACTGAAAAAGATTGACAACTGAACGAGAGAAAGAGAAAAAAAGAAAAAAAGAAAGAAAGAAAGAGTAAGAGAGAGAGAGAGAGAGAGACAACTTGACTCACGGATACAAATGTTGAAGAAGAAATTGATGAAATATAAAGGTGCATAATCCTGAGTGCAGTAGAGAAGATCAACCGGCTTGGCTTGTAGTGTTGCACCGAATAATCATCCCCAATAAAACAAACAAACAAAAACCAAACAAAACAAAACAAAACAAAACAAATCCCTCTCACGTATAGAAAATTAGATTTTTCACGTTACAATATTAGTTTCGCGCGTGTTTCCATCTCTCTCCCTCTCCCTCTTTCTAAATTCTCTCCTTCTCTCTCTCTCTCTCTCTCTCTCTATTTCTAATTCTCAATGATAAACGTTAAATAAAAATAATGAATACGATCATGTTCTCTTCTTATCGATGGATATATCATATCCTTTAATGATATATCCGCACCGAAATGGGTACAAGTAAAACAAACAAAACAAAAATAATGAATTGTCAATGAGTAAGAGGAGACTACGGAAAAAAAAGGGCCGTCGTCTGTCGGCCGACTAAATCACTCTCGAAGGAAGAAGAGAGGATATATCCAGAAGGAAGACTAGAAAAAGGGGGGAAGGGAGAGGAGAGTAGTGGGATCCGGACGTATCCGAGGGAGTGCCTCTTCCCAGCATCACCTGTTGGTTCGTATCCCGGTCGTGACTCGTTCGTGTACGGGTCGAGAGACACGGCCACGGGCCTGGACCATATAAACGAGGGGTGAAGGGCTAAAATATAAAGAGAGAGAGAGAGAGAGAGAGAGAGTTAGGTACACTTTAATGCGCATACGCAAGCGCAAATCAATGTGTTATATCGCGCGCGCTTTTCTATAAAGATTCTACTCACTCTCTTTCTCTCTTTCTCTTTCTCTTTCTCTCCCTTTCGTTCACTATGTCTATATATATATATATATTCATATTTCTATCTTGTTTTCTTATCAATGACAATCCAGTCCTTCCTTAACACTTACAACCACCACCCGGAAACTAGTCAGCCTAGTTTTGATAAGTGTTTTTATTTTTTTATGAGAATATATGTTTATTTGATAATCTTTAAACACTTCGACTCGATATTTTACATATTAAGGAGAAGATTTAATGAGAAAGGTACTGTCGAATCAAGTATTTTTTAAATTAGAATAGATTTGGTTTGTTTGTTAAGGATGAGGATCCTGTATGGCCGCCATCATGCTTATATACGTATGTTTCGTTATAATCAAATTAATTATGTAGGAGAGAAAATCAATGTTATTATTTTTTTCTTAATGCGTATTATCTTTTAAAGTATATATATATATATATATATATATATATATTGTGCTCTAATTGGAACGATCGATGAAACATAGTAAAAAGTTTGGTATGATTTCTTATTAATCTCCTTGTCCTACTCGTCAATATCAGATTGTTTTGGAAATAATAATGATAATAATTATTATACGTAAAACTAAAGTAAGAGAAAATATTGAGAACAAGTGAAAAATAAGTCTGACTCGTTGTTGTAAGACAAGGGGTTGATTGGCTGAATAAATGTTTATCGATTAAACGATTATGTTTTCTTCGTCTTGCTCGATATACGATTAAACTAACTTCCTTTCTGATTTATATGTTATTTATATAATATAAAAAAATGTGCACGACAATTATTTTAATTCCCAGTGTTGATTAGTTCCCCAGTTTGATAAATTAACGAGAAATCATTATTATCTTTCTTAATTTAATAACAAAATAAAATATTGTTTATAAATGTAAACGATGAATCGTCAAAGATAAGAAAGTATATAATCCTTTTTATTATTATAAAATAATTTATCATTTAATCTATGAAATGATCTTAACATAAAGTATAATAATGTATGGATTTTGTATAGAACTTTTTCCATAATTTTATTTAAATCTTTCGTTAATAATGCTGAATAAACTTAGAAATTAACAAGATATATTATTTCATATAAAAACGCGACAATTAATTGTTCTCTCCTTAAAATATTATCAATTATTCTAATAACAAAAATATTCTTATATTATTATTCTCAATTAGAATTTAAATCTTTTGCTCCTTTTTACCCTGTATTTTTTCTTTGACAGATTTTTTTAATTTCCTGCTCCTTCTTTTCCTGCGTTTTTTCTTTTTCTGACTTTTTTCTTTCAATACGGAAGAACTTTCAATGAAAGCCTTATTTTCTCTGCAATATTCCACCAATACTTTCCAATGTTTATTTGTCTCTAGAACAATTGGATTGCCTATTACTATAAGAAGACATTTTGCTCGAGTTAAAGCAACATTGAGTCTCTGAAAAAAGAAAATATATATATTTTATTTAATTAAGTTTAAATAAATATAGTTAATAGTTTTTAAAAATAATTGGATATACCTTTTCGTCAGATAAAAATCCAATATCTTCTATTCCATTGTGCTTGAATACACGAGATCTTACAGTAGTCAAAATAATGATTTCTTTTTCACATCCCTGAAGAGTTTCTACGGTACCAACAGTTATATGATGCCAATTTTTCTTTTCTAATCTCTTAATTATCTCGATTTTTTGTCGCTTATACGGGGATACAATGCCTATATGTTTTTGCTTAATTTTTAAACCTCCAAGCTTTTTGCCCAATAATAATTGTAAATAGTCCATTATTATAGATATTTCTTCAAGATTATAAATGCTACAAATGAATGTGATTTATATACTTACAATAATTACGTATAATTAATTAGAGAGAAAAAAAAACAATTTTACAAAATATTCTTATGTATATTCCCTACCTGTACGTATCTTTTTTCATTTCTGTACCATTGGATGAATGAAATATTATAGGAAATTTTTTGTTAGGTAATGTTGACCATCCAATTGCTCTATTAACAGTTTGTGCATCTCCACAAGCAATTAATTCGTTTCCATAAAATTCTTGATTAGACACATGCAATATACACTCGTGATTTCGATAATTCCGTTTTAATTTGGTCACATAATGCTGATCATAATTATTTTGTTCGTTTTGTTTATACAAAGAATGATCCATTAATCTTTTTAACATTGATATACCTGGAATATATTTTCGATTAGGTCAAGTTTAATGTTAATAAGACAATGAAACAATTGGAAAGGAATAAAAAATATAGTTCAGTGTTACCTAACAATGGTTTTGCAAATCTTGATACAACTACAGGTGCCAATTGATGAGGATCACCAGCAAGAACAATTTGTGATTTATTATTATTCTTAGATCCAAGCAAAAATGGTATCATTGTCTCTGGTTCTGTTGCTTGACTGGCTTCGTCAATAATTATATAAGAAAAATTATCTTTCTTTACTCTTTTAGAAACAAATACACTACAATAATAATATTCTTTATTTAAAAGACAATAATTCAAGAGATATTATATATATATTTAGTGTAATAAATACCGATACAGATATTCTTACAACATCTGAATTAAAACAATCCAAGAGTTATAGGATAATATAGAATATATATATATTTCTTTAATAAACGTTTGATATTATTTAAAACAATATACGTACCTACCGCATGTAATGATCGTAACTAGAATAATTTGATGAGATAATAAAAATTTATTGTTTAAAATATCAGAATTATCCTTTAGAAAATGACTACAAGGAAGGATAGTTTTATCTACCTTGGACCTATATATCATAAAAAATAATACAAAACAATATTCTAATATCTATTATATAATATCATTTACTTAACCTTTCGTGTGATTGCGAATAAATCCTAGAAATAACTGTTGGAGATACATAATTTAATAATCTTTTTGTAATTTCATCTACGGCTTTATTAGATGGTGCACAAACCAATACATTTCTCGATAATTCTTTTTTCCAGGCCTGTACGTGTACGTCAAGAAAATTGTATATAGAAAAAGTGAAATATAATTATTGATAGAAATAATTGAATGTATATTTAAATATTTTGATATATCACAAATACCTGGCAAATTATTTCAACCAATGTAGCAGTCTTCCCGGTACCAGGTGGTCCAAATAATATATATGGTGCAGGATGAGCAGTCATATTTAAAACATTTATCACTACTTGCTTCTGTTCAGAATTTTTCTTAATCGATACATTGAACCATTTTAAATCTCTATAAAAGTATATTATAACATTTAGAAAAGGAAAACATTATAAAGAAAGTTTTAATAACGACAAATACAACTTACAAATTCAAACAGTTTCTATTCGTTCCAATTGTTGGATATATCAATGACTTAAAATAACAATGAATTTGTTTCAAAGCATAATGACATATTCTCATAGACCATTCTGACTCTATTAAACTGATGTTATATCTCTTACGTTTACTAAATGTAAGTAGAAACCTGTAATTACAATGAAATGTTAAATTAAATCAGACATTTAAAACATATTCATTGCGATACGTACTTATTATTTATGACAAAATCAATGTTACTCTTAGAAATTTTGACAACTTTAGCGTAGTAAGAACATTCATCTATATTATTTAAAGTTGTTTCTTTCAATATAATCTTATCTTTCACTTTGACAAGAGAATCATCATCAATTAAAAAGGGCGCAAATATTGTAAATATATTTTTTCCTTTTTTTTTTAATTTCCACCCTTTTAAAATGTTTTCCTTTAATTTAGATTTTTCAAAATGTTCGACATATAATAAAATTTGAAAAAGATTACAATAATCTTTTTCCTCTATTATTTTAATATTTTTTAAATTTTTAATTAAATTTATATAACGTTTAATCCTTTTACTGTAACTTTCGCTGATCTCTAAATTATTTTCCAGAGCAATCCTTAAATCAGATTGTAAACGGGAATCAGACCAGCTAAAAATGATACACAATTGCTAATGAGAACATAAGAAAAAATGTAAATGATTAATAAATATCAAAATTAATGTCATTTTTACTCACGCATTGAATTTCTTAGTCATTTTGTTTCGACGTAAAACAATTTGAAGTATCTTTTATAAAAAAAATGTAACAAAGAAATAATTCCTTCCCTTTTTCCTATCGTAACTTTGAGAAGAATAAATAAAATTAATCTAACATAAATTAAATTCTATATTTGTTCCCGAAACACAAATTGAACTTTAATCACAACGAAAAATAAAACGACTCGCTAGTAAGAATTATTAGTATAGTACAATAATTATGTAATATTATTCTTAATCTTATCACTGTTAACAGTTTCTCTAAACAATATATATGTAGAATTAAATTTATTGAAATATAAATAATGTGAATAATAGATTTTCACAAATAAAGTGAAATTCTGACAATAATACGCACAACTCGTTATAATCTTTAAAAGAAATTTCGATATACTTATCTGAAACCTCTAATTGCTTCTATAAAACCCTAAAGTTCTTTCCTTACCGCTCGCTCAATTTATACTATTCTTCAATTATCGAAACATACTTATTGGTACTTCCTTTGTTTTATTTCCAAAACGTTCATTTTAATAAAACACATAAACACACACGCATATAATAATATTAACCATTTGAGTTTTCAATTTTCATGTCGACAAAATTCTAATTAATTTGAACAATACGAACAATTAATGGCGAACTCATAATCTTTTCAGACTCTTATATACAAGAAAAGTATATAATCATGATAAATACATTTTACGTTGTACATATTATATATATGTATGTATATGTGTGTGTGTGTGTGTAATAATATTTTATAAAATACTATTATACAAATATTAAATATATGAACAATTTTAAGAAGAAACAAAAAATATTTAATTGAAAGTAATATTTGTCATTTAAAAAACATTGATGTTTATCAAAACGTATTGGTAGATAAACACCTTTTTCATTTGGTATACAAATTATAGATGAGATCTTTTTCTCTTAATATAATATTAAAACAAACGCTATTGCTGTTGGCTTTTTGTTTGGCTTTTCTCAACATAAAATAAAAAGAGCGATATTGAATTATTTCTCGTCTTTTTCCGATCATGTTTTTTTTTTTTCAAAAACATCTGCTATTGAAATGATTAATTGATAACATATTGAAATATAAACTTGACAAAATCGTTGTGTTTTGTTTAACATTTGCTTGCTCATAAAGAAACAACACTTATTCACAGGAAGTTGTCTCCATTTTCTTTTAGTTTTTTCCTTAAGAAAATCTAGCATTGTCCAGTGCATACATACATGCTAAATTTCTTATCTCACATATATATAAAGCACAAATAAACCTTAGATAATACTTTTTTACACTGTGTATATTCCCTTATCGGTCGTCAGCTTTTTTATTACGATTCTCATTAGGTTGTAGCTAATTTCGATTAATATGCAAATAAATATGATTGTCACTTTCCACATGACACATGGCAGACGATCGCAGCGCCAAAGTACCGTTGTCGTAAAATGTGACTAACTAACACACCGATAAGGATAAAATTACAATGAAAACAATTTTAACTTGGATTCAATTAAAATTAACAAGATTTTCGAGAAATAGATTAAAAAGCAAACGTATAAACAACTATTTTAGAATTCGGAAATCTCTATTACGTTTTAATATAAACAAATATTATCTAATTTTGTAGGAAATTGTTCCTCAAACCGGCGTAATTCGAATGAACACTGATTCCGTTCAAATTTCATATCTATCTCATTGTACATTATACTTTGTAAACTCAATACATTGCGTATTTTACCAAATGCTTCGACTTTGTTGAAGTGATCCTTTGCTTTAGACAACGCTTTAATAGCATTTAAGATTATTTCCTTTCGTAATTTTGTCAAAGTCGAGGTAGCAGTACCAACTAAACATTTAGCATACAAAATAAGTGCTCTCCCTTGTTCATAACATCCGCCATGAGCTAACGTATGCGTGATAGCTTCATCGACTAAGTTCATTGCCAATGAAGGTAGCCCCATGAGTAACTAAAAAATAATACAATATATGTATATTTCTTTATCTTTGTATTCATACAAACTAAATGAAGTTACTTGTATATAATTACTTGTATATTTGCCAGATGCATTTTGATAAGAGCTTCATAATAGGATAAATGATTATGGGTAGCTAATTCCAATGCTTTGTTAAGAATCACTAACGAATTGATTCCCACTGTTTCATTTCCTGATAAGAAAGATGCACACATTATTTGACTCAAAAGAATCATAGCGCGTACTCGATTTTCTGCTGTTATATCAGAGACCTTTTCGATACTGTCGATTAAATGCAAAGTATTTGGATAATCTCCTTTGGCTAAAGAAACTTCTGCTTGCCTACAATTTCGAAATATCAACAATATTTTTATAACATCGATTAATTTTCTATTATCTTTATATAATAAAACATATCATTCGTATTACCTAAATTTAGATTCCAATGGATCTAAACTAGATATGCGAGAAGCTATTGCATCAGCTTCGCTCCACCTTTCGCGTCTCATCATTTTTGTAAATTCATATAATTGTTCGCACAACATCCACGTCTGTAAATATTTTTATATGCAATCTTAAAAAATATAAACATATAATTATTTTGATATACCTAAAGTTAATAATTTGTAAAACCTTGTTCGACGGATGATTGGGAAATCTTTCTTTTGCATGAGCTAATATTATATCGACGAGATTGTATTCGCCAAACTCTACTAAAATATTAGCAACGTTTACAACAGCTTGACAAGTTGAAGTTCCATTGAATATATTTTGCTTTTTACTTCCTGAATTATGCAAAAGAAGAAGTTGCGAACAAACCGAAGAGAGTTCCATTTTTCCATAATACGCCCAGAGTGCTGATTTTTCAGAATAAGTCAATGACATTAGATCAATCATAGAATGTTGACAATTCAACACATCCGATTTCATTAATGTCTAAAATAAATGCATTGACATTTAATATGAAACATTTGTCATATTTAAATATTACATACCTCAAAAATTTGAGAAGGAGGCTTAGCTTCCAAAGCAGAATAATGAGAAAGAGCAATTAATCCTAGGCCCGTGGTATATGTAATTCCTAACATACTAGCTTTTCCAAGAGATCTTTCTATTAAAGGACCTCTACAAAAATTGTCAAATATCAAAAACTTTATAATAAAAATAATATTATGAAAACATACTTCTTATTACTGGTGAGGTAATACATCCAAGCATGCGCCAGCTGCAAACAAACATTATCCCCTGCTTCTTGTGCCATCATAATAGCTTCTTTCAAAGCTTCTTCCGCTACTTTCCTTCGTAACAAGTATATAATATTGATCATTGCATTAATAAGTAATAATATTATACAAAACGTACTTATGATTAAAATGAGCATGGAGTACTGCAAGATTTAAGGCTGCATATCTCAGCATCCTCGATTTGTCTTCAGGGGTAGAACGATTTTCGGATGGTGCTAATCTGTCGAAACAATGATAAAGACTATCTATTGCACTGCAGTATTCGTTTATGCGTAAGCAATTCAAATAGCTCAGATAATGCTGAAAAAAGTAAATATGTGCAAAAATAATAAATATTTACTTTTTATAAAATTATTTAAAAAGAATATGCTTACAGCTTCTGCGTAATAAGGACTAGAGCGGAGAAGTTTCTTTATAAGAATTTGTAGATCAACCGGTGACATTGCCTTGTGTTCATCCATTTTTAATGCATTCGCTTGCTGTGCGACTAATAATTCTGCTTGCCTTCCACTCCATACGGTAGTACTTTTATCACTATCAATTGTAATACTTTATAAGATATTTCTCATCTATCGAATGACGTATACTATCAAAAAAAAACTTACTTGTAAATGTAGGGTTCGTCAAAATTTAAACAAGTGGATACTTCGGTATTTTTAGGGCTCTTAGATTTATTCTTAGCATAGTTCTTAAGATCTTCATATAACAAAATGGATTGATCGAAGGGCAATTTTTCAAAAAATATTATTATTCTTCTTACATATAACCCGAGAACAGAATTTTTATTTAGTAAAGGCACAGCAATAGCATGATCTAACGTAGATTTCATTAATCTTCCAAGATTATCGAATAAATCTAACAATCCTTCAATACCTTTCTCTAACAATGTATTTAATTGAAGTTCTAACTCGTGTCCAAAAGAATAAATATGTTCGCTACTATATAATATATTTAATAAGGTATACAATTCCATATCGGGTGACTAGAAAAAAGAAAAAGAAAATAATTTTTAAAGAGATCATTTACTTAAATCCAATCTATATTATTTACTATTTATTCTATAGTAAACATATAGTTTACCTGAATCAACTTTACTGCTGCTAAACAAAAATCACGTCTTACCACGATAGCTGAAAGATAATTAACAAAAATTCATTAAAGAAAATTCATTAAAGAAAACATATTAATTATTATTTTACAATAATAAACATTTAAAGAAATAAAATCTCTCTTTTAAAATAAATTACCTTTACGACTTTCATTGCAATATTCTTTTATCAACATAACAATAGCAACTTTGTATGGTGTTAGGTTTTCCTTCTGAACTCTTTTAACATTCCCGTCAATATTCACTAATTCTTTCGACATAATTAATATTATCCGAAATTTATTACATATATATCAATTTATTTCGACGAGGTAAAAATTTATAAAAATACTCTTAACTATGAATACCGATGTAATAAACAAATATATTTATGTAGAAATAGTAATAGGTTACTCGCGCCCTTCTGCGGCAAGTACATCAACTAAATAAAAGAAGCGCCAATTTGAAATAATCTAATGTACTCTTATGCATTCTATTTTATCTTCGCTATGTTAAAAACTATATAAATTAGTATGTTTCACGTATGTATTATAAAAATTGATTATCAAATGATATAATAGTACAATAAAATTGTAGATATTACAATGTGGACTTAGAAATGTATTATAAATAATATCTATTTAAATTAATAGTAAAATCAATGCAATATTAATTTTCGTCTAAGAATATTTATTCATCATCTTGTACAACGGTAGTTTTTTCGGAAACATAAAGTCCATCCAAAAACTTTCTTATATCTTTGTTTTTCACAGTAGTTGATTGCTGGATAAGCGCAGCTAAAGTAAAAATATATGTGATTAGAAATTATTACAATTATATATCAAAATTATATAGAATATCCAATGCACAATGCATTTATTGCATACCAGATCGTGAAACATCTTCCAACGAATTTCCTTCGATTATTAATTCGTCCTTTTGTTTGGCAGAGTTCATAACAGTAACACCATTAGCCATTTTAACTCGTCGGATATATTTCTCACCCAAGAAGTTTCGAATTTCAATTACGGTGTTATTCTCAGTTGTTACACAATTAATAGGAAAATGAGCATATACAGCTCGCATCTTATACTGATACCCTTTTGTTACACCTTTTAACATATTTTCTATGTGAGAGCATACAGTACGCACTGCGGCTAATTCTTTTTTTGTCCCAAACCATTTTTCCACTTTCAATAGCCTTGGATTAATCATCTATAATTTATATTAAGAAAAAATATGTAATAATATTTTAATACAAGAAATTCATTTATTACTTTTTATCATTCGTATCAGAATAAAGTTGTCATTTATAAAAAAATGAAGGGGAATCCAAATATATATCATCATAATAAATATATTTCTTCCTCGGATCTATTTATTAAACAAATAATGCTTACACGTATATCCAGGGCAAGGTGCTTGAAAGAGCGCTTAAGAACACCCCTTGGTCCTTTAACTGTTACAGAGCGAGACTTGACTGTAACGGTTAATCCCTCAGGGATCTTTACCGTTTGATTGGTTACAATTTGCTTCATTCTTTATTCTAAAAGAAAGAAAATTATTTTAATGCAACTTTTTTCCTTTTTAAATATGTTACGAGCATTAGAAGTCTATATCACATAAAACCAAAATAAATTCTTAAGGATCTCAAGAATATTTGATAATGGATACGTATATATATATGTATTAATTAATGAATCATATAAACAAAGAATAATACACATACGATATTTGGATTAAGTTTATAAACAATACAAGTTTTAATTAGACAACATCAATACTTCAAATGTTCGTATTTTCGTATAAATAATCATCAACCGATAGGATTCACTTATATAAACAATTAATAGGATTCATTCACATAAAAAAAAAAAAACTATATTAAATAAAAACAAATGTCGTATAAATTTACAATAACATAATAAACTAAAACTACTAAGAAGAGTTGCATAAAGTGATACGTGTTGAGGTTAAAAACCATCTCCAGATGAACGATAATTTTTCTAAAGGAAATTTATACTCTATCGAAAATATACTATTCAAATACGTCAATTATTATTAATCATAGATCATTCAACGCGACGCATCGTTGGATTATTATAGATTTTCTTAAGTATTCAAACTAGTTCGAATTTCATTACCTTACACGCGTAACGGCAAAACCGGAAGAGAATCATGAAACCTCCTTTCTTCCTCTGGTTGACTACCACGCGTTCCGTTCCGCCATTTTAAGATTCATCGATATATAGATATCGAAATATCGAACTATCGAAATATCGAAATATTGTGTTATATTATTGTTCGTTATAAATTTATATTGTAAAATATTTGGAATCAATTAATATCATAATTATAATATTTTTTTTTTTTATTATTCATCCTTAGAAGAAAATGTTATAAAAATTATCTCTCTTTTTCTATATATTACCGATAGATGGCAAAACAGGATAAATGTATACATATATTGTAATACATAAATGTAATACATCAATATTGCATGCAGTTTGATTTTTCTATTTACCATCTGAAAATAGAAGATTATGTTAAAGAATCATATGCGCGATCAGTACTTTCTGTCAGTTGGTGGTTTCTCTTTGTTATCAACATTAGGCTTGCCCTCTTTATCGCAAGTCTGATTATTTGCTTGCATTTGAATGATATCAAATAAAGTTAACCTTATAGGAAATTCAATAGATTTGGCAATAATATTGTAAAATAAATATGGTAAGAAAGAACATATTAAATGATCATTTATTACTTTGTTATTGAATAGATTATATATAGACGTTATTTGTTTATTCATCATGATCTATTGTATTCTCTAGGATGATGACGATCAATTTCAATCAGGTTATGATGTTGATTCATTTCCAAAGGACTTTGGATATGCTCCCTTCGATGGGGAAGTTGAAGTATCTACGGATCCTTTAGCAGGAGAACAAAAACCTAGAATACTTTTAATGGGTCTTAGAAGGTATATATATATTTTTAATAACTCATCTAAGAATCTATCAGTGTTACCACGTGTTATTATACGTGTTACCACGCGTAATCAAAATTTTCATATTTCTTTATATTATTACATCAATATATATTTCACTTTCTCTGATATATTTCAGAAGCGGAAAGTCATCTATACAAAAAGTAGTTTTTCACAAAATGTCCCCAAACGAAACATTATTCTTGGAAAGTACAAACAAAGTAATCAAAGATGATATAAGTAATTCTAGTTTTGTTCAATTTCAAATCTGGGATTTTCCTGGACAAATTGATTTCTTTGATCCTACTTTTGATAGTGATATGATATTCGGAGGTTGTGGTGCATTAGTCTTTGTAATAGATGCGCAGGATGATTATATGGAAGCTCTGAATAAACTTCATTTGACAGTTACTAAAGCATATAAGGTCAATCAAGCTATTAAATTTGAAGTTTTCATTCATAAAGTTGATGGATTATCTGATGATTGTAAAATGGAAACGCAAAGGGACATACACACCAGGGCTAACGATGATTTAGCAGATTCTGGTAAATCATAAAAAGAAAACAATGAATATCGCTTATTTATTGATAAACGTGTTAATCTATTGTTAAAAATTTGTTTTAGGATGCGATCAGATACATCTTAGTTTTCATTTAACATCTATATATGATCATAGCATATTCGAGGCCTTCAGTAAAGTCGTTCAAAAATTAATACCACAATTACCAACATTGGAAAATTTATTAAATATACTTATATCGGTACGTAGAAACTCGTCATAGTTATTATTTTAACATTACTTTTATTAAATGTAAAATCTGATTATAATGTTTTAGAATTCTGCAATTGAGAAAGCGTTTCTGTTCGATGTGGTGTCCAAAATTTATATCGCAACGGACAGTTCTCCTGTAGATATGCAAAGTTACGAACTTTGCTGCGATATGATTGATGTAGTTATCGATGTCTCTTGCATATATGGGTAAATAAATATACTCTTTTATAAATATAAATATACTTTTATAAATATCTTAATAATTATTATATCGAATGTTTCTTTTTTATTAGATTGAGAGAAGACTTGGAAGCAGCGGCATTTGATAATCAAAGTTCTAGTTTAATTAAATTAAATAACGGCACGATTTTATTCTTGCGCGAAGTGAATAAATTTTTAGCCTTGGTTTGCATTTTGAGAGAGGATAATTTTGACAGACAAGGTAAGATATTATTTTCTTTTTTGTGGCACATAAAATGTATAAATAAATATTATATGGCTTATGAGTTTTGATGGAATTACAGGTGTCATAGATTATAATTTCTTATGCTTTCGCAAAGCAATACAACAAGTATTTGAATTGCGCAATAAAGCATTAGCTGCTACTAGTGTAAATAATCACTCTACGTCTCCTGTTAGCATTAATGAATCTTCAAACTTATCAGTAGTATCACAAGGTGGAATGATCGGACAAAATGGTGTTATAGCGCTTACGCAAAGTTAACTAGGTTTTTCTCATTGCGAGCTTTACCCGCAACTAGAGTATTTTTACTTTTAAATATATTCATTTTATTTTAGTAATCTATCATTGTGTACATCTTCGATCATGTATAATTTTATATAAATAGCTAAGGATATTCCGTAATAATATTAGTTAAACAATTAAATCTAAACTTTCATTAACTTTTATTTTGTTAAGTTTTAATATGTATCTATATACTTTAAATTTACGATAAAATTAACTTTATGTATTTCTTTGTAAATGGCTCTTTATCACATATCTACGGCGTTATAATTCGAAATCTCTTTTAACTTTATTAATGACCAAATTTTTTCTGTCGCAGAAAATGCAAACCTTAATAATTTTTATAAAGCATGAAATTTGAATAAACATTCTCAATTTCAAAATTGAATTCACATTTTCTGCCATTGGAATGGGGTTATTAAATTTTGTTTATTAAGAAATTTTTTCGTATCGTATATCGATTTATAACGCATACGATCAAACAATTCGTATTACGCGTATACATTAATATTATTATGTGTACTATGTATAATACAAATGAATAATATTTCATTTACACGTCGTTATAAAATCGCGCCTAAATACCGATAGTTAATTGGTCAAAATTTGAAATGATTGAATGTCTTCAAATGATTGGTTCTTTAAAATATCGAATTATCGCAATCTCATACGAATGATACTTCATACTTAACATTCAAATGTGTAAATTATATCTTGAAAAATAAGTAAATTTATTTAACAAAACACACTAAATATTAATTGTCTTATACAAATTAAATACATTATATTTTATTGACAAATGAATACTTACATTTGTAATAAATGTTATTCTACGAAAAACAGAAGAAAGAAACCATTTAGAATAACTCAATGTGGGCATATATTCTGTGATAATTGTTTAGACGAAGGTAATCATGTTAAAAAAAGCATACACTGATAATATCTTTTTATTACAAATGAATGTGCTTTCTTTAATTGTAAATATATATATGTATATGTATATACATTATTATTACTGTAGGTTTGAGACCTTGTTCAAGATGTAATAATGGGGATGTAGCATCGTTGCAATTGGAAGAACCTTTATTACCCAAAGTATCATCTTTGTTTATTCCATTGAATGAAGCTATACAATCATTACCTGAAATAGCTAATTTCCAAAATACTCAAAATAACATTATTCTACGTCGTTTTTATCAAATTGTATATCTTACTCTTGTTCTTCAATATCTCTTACTTCTCTTTTCTTTTTTAATCTAATATTGTATTTAACTTTGAAGGAAACAAAATATAATCTATTAAAGCAAGAATATCATAAGCTTGCTCAAAATATGCAAATAATAACTGAAAAATATCGCAAATTAAAAGAAGAAATGGAAACGATTAATATGAAATTTGTTAATTCTAATAAACAATGTTCCAATGTTCAAACTATCTTTAATCGCAGAGAGATGTTTATAGATGCACGAAGGATGCATCATGATAGGTATATTTTCAATATATTTCATTATATTATTAGAAAAATAAGTACATATGTATGTTTAATTTTTTAGTATCACTCCAAATTCAAAATCATACAAGAGTGTAAGATTTACTCCATCAACTAATCAAAGCATATATGAAAAATTACGTAAAACATCAATAACGTCATGTGTTCCAACAATTCGTTATTATAATACACCTTCGATCAATAATCAAAATAAACAAAATTGAAACAATAATAAATGTATTAAATATTAAAAGAAACTTTCTTTAATTGTAGGACAAAATAAATAAATACATATGTATATGTATAGTTACAGAATTATGCTTACTTAACCTATATTTATACGACCAATCTATGCAAAATAGTAAATACGTATTTGTGGAGGTTATTCAGTTTCTTATCATTACAGGTTTCTTTTTGGTTTGTTTTTACGTAGACATAATTAATCAAATGCTATATATAATTAGAATTTAAATTGTGTTAAAAGTAATGTATAAAATGAAATTACTGTAGTTCAGGTTACAAGTGATTGCGTGGATAGATACGTACCGTAATGCTAATTCACGATCAAAGGTCGATCATAATATAGATATAAATATGTTTCTTACATATAAAACATCGATCGAGTTTTATCATATTCTCGTATTGTGTTGATCGATTATCAAGAACGTTAAATGTGTATTTTATTTCTTTAAACACTGTTCAGTTTTTTAATTCATTTTCAATTTAATTTGATTGCTGTATCAGGGCGTAGCTATCGTTTTCATAATTATAATTATATTTTATATACTATATCTGCAACATGATAAACTCTGGGTATGCATTTTTATATATTTTTCTAATAATTCTAATAAGTATTACAAGTATATATATATACATATAATATATACACACATATTAGGTTAAAGCCATATATACATGTGTATGTACATGGTTAGACATGAACAATCTGTTTTCTTTACATTTATCTACACATTGTATTTATAATTGCATTTTAAAAATAACTAGTAGTATATGTCTGTGTTAATATCTAAAGTTTTTTGGAATCATTGTATATAAATACAGGAAATTGGCAGGACGTACTATTTTCATAACGGGTGCATCAAGAGGCATCGGAAAGAGTATAGCTTTAAAAGCAGCAAGAGATGGAGCAAATATAGTAGTTGCAGCAAAAACGGCAGAACCTCATCCTAAATTACCAGGCACCATTTACACAGCAGTAGCAGAAAGTAATTATATAGCGATATTAATAATATATAAATGTTTTAAAATATTTGTTCGCGCTAATGCTTTTAATGTATTAATGTTTAGTCGAAGAAGCAGGTGGTAAAGCTCTGCCTTGCATTGTCGATGTCAGAGATGAAGGACAAGTTAAATCTGCCGTTGAAAATGCAGTTAATAAATTTGGTGGGATTGATATCGTTGTTAACAATGCCAGTGCTATATCTTTAACAGGTACTCTGGCTACGGATATGAAAAAGTATGATCTTATGAATAATATTAATGCAAGGGGTACTTTCCTCGTGTAAGTAATTAATCTACCTTTTTATATTGTCAATAATAATACCTTTATATATAATAAGTAATAATGAGAATGAAATTTTGATCTAGGTCAAAATTGTGTATACCTTATCTAAAAAAGAGCACTAATCCCCATATAGTGAATATAAGTCCACCGCTGAATATGAAACCAATGTGGTTCCAAAATCATGTGGCATACACGATGGCCAAATATGGAATGTCCATGTGCGTACTTGGTATGGCAGAAGAGTTTAAAGAAGATGGTATTGCTGTTAATGCTGTGTGGCCACAAACTGGTATGCTATAAAGATGCATTAATTACTCGTGTTATCTTATTGCTAGGAGAAAATTGAAAATATTTGTTCGAATGTAATAATTATTATTGTATTTTTATTATTACTTAGCTATCTTTACTGCTGCAATAGAAATGTTAACGGGGTCAGACTCTAGTAATCACAGTCGTAAACCTGATATTGTGGCAGATGCGGTTTATGCTTTGATTTGTAAAGATAGTAGATCTGTTACTGGACAATTTTTAGTTGACGAAGAAATATTAAGAAAAGAAGGGATTACCGATTTTAAAAGTTATGCTTGCAATCCAGGTATTTATTATTTCATAATATCTTTTGCCATTTATATTTTCTTTAATAATATTGAATTTTTATTTGGATTATCGAATGAATGAATTTTTACAGATAATGCAGATAATTTGATGCTAGATTTCTTTTTGGATGATCATGTTAATTTCCCAATTAATTTGAATACCGTAAAGAATACCGCTAAACAGTCATCTCAGAAATCTGATAATTTAGGTAGCGGAAAAATTGCAGATATATTTTCTGCTATCAATGCTAATTTGAGTGCAGAACTTGTAAGCAAAACTAAGGCTGTATTTCAATTCAATGTTACAGGTAAAATGATTAATTTATTTCTATTCATTCTTATGCATAATATTTTTATTCTCTATGAATTTGCAGGAGAGGAAGCTAGTACATGGTATTTAGATCTTAAAAGTGGTACTGGTTCTACGGGCAAAGGTGAACCAAAAGATCCAGCAGATGCAATTCTTACAATGAATTCGGAACAATTCTTTGCAATGTTTTCTGGTAAACAAAACTTCTTTTTTTTTTAAATAGTTGAATTATTTTTCTGTCTTATATGTATATTTAACATTTATTAGTTATTTTTCATTTTAGGTAAATTAAAACCAGCTACTGCATTTATGACAGGAAAATTGAAGATCAGTGGTAATCTTCAAAAAGCTATGAAATTAGAAAAATTAATGGTTTCCTTAAAATCTAAACTTTAAGACTGAGATCTTTCTTCATCTTATATACTTTTTTTTTCAATATTACGAATATACAAATTTTAATGCATTTTATCGAATGCATATATTGTTATATATTTTTTCAGATGATATATACCGAAATTTAAAAAAATTATATTATTTGTTATATATATAAAGAGAGAGAGAGAGAGAGAGAGAGAGAGAGAAAAATACATTTTATATATACTTATATGCGCATTAAGTATATCAATTATTTCACTAATATATTATATAAATATTCCAAAAGTAAGAAATACAATATATATTTTGTATCAATTTGCAAAAATCACGTACTTCATAAAGCCGAGTTTAATTAACCGAGTTAGATTAACTTGTTTATTGGGGAAATTTTCGATAAATTATAAATAAATTAATATTTATTCTTTGATAATGTAAGAAAAATGCTTCCCCAATTACCAAGTTAATATGTTACTAATTATTGAACATAATTATTTAGAATATAATTCCTTCATAATACGTACATTTAACTTTGCTAATGAAACAAACATTTAGCGTGTTTACTAAGAAAGAAAAACGAAACACGTATTACGTATAAGAGAATTATTTAAAAGTTTGTTGTAGGAACATAAAAGGAATGTTATAGTTTCCTTTATTATTCGCTGTTATTACTTTCCTTACTAGCATAATAGGCACTGCGCAATTCTTTGAGATTATCTTCTAAAGTGGTCACTTCATCAAATTTACAATCTGCTCTAGCTTGTTCAATATATGCTGTTAAATTATTCATTTGTTCGATGAGCGGATTTGTAGAAGAAGATATCATAGGAGCTTTAATAGATGGACCCCAACCTTGCGATTGATCCATAGTCATTTGTTGCTTGAAAAATACGTGTTAGATTATGAGAAAATCAACAAAAATTATTGAACACAATGAAATATTATTAAAAACTTACTTGATTTTCTTTTACTAATGGACCGCCACCTTCCAAGTTTCGCGTGTCTCTTTTGTTTTGTTCTCTAGATTTTTGTCTCTGTTCTTCTAATTTTTGTTCATAGGCAGCCTTGAGTTCTATTCGTCTTTGACGTTCTTCTTTCAATGTGGCATATTCTTCTATCGAAGGTAACGATTGTATAGAGAGTAATTGTTCTTTTAAAAATATCATTGCACTCGCCCTAACCATTTGATGCAATCTAAGTTCTTGCCCTTGGGGCGAATTTTCTACATCTCTTGTACCAAGAACCAAAATTCTTTTACTAATTGCATCTATATTCTCCCCCAATTTAGCAATCTTATGACGTAACGTTTGAGCATCTTGTAAGTCATAGGTAGACTCTCCTTCTCTAAACAGATATTAATATTATTGTATTTAGATAATAATATTATATATATTATAGATAATAAAACTGAATAGGAATGTAGAATTATAAATAGAATTAAATACCTCAAAGATTCGCTCATTTTGTTATACATTGCCAGTATCTGCATAGTTTCTTCCATGTACAATTTCATTTTTTCATAAAATTGGCATACTATCGGTTTGTGAAATTGCTTTTCTTTTTGTTTTTCTCTCGCATCAAGTAAATTCATACAATGTGTACAAACTTTGAAGTGTTGTTCAGCTCCAGTGGAATCATTGACTAAAGATAAAACACTATTCAAGCTACTGCTGGATGGAGATCTTGCCAATTTTGTAAGTCCTATACCAGCGCGTACAACACGTTCTGAAAAACCTTTCTCTGATGATGTCGGAGAAACAGCTGAATCATCCTGTATAGAAACAGGACTTGTCATTTTTCCTAGAAAATAGTTTTTTTATATCCAGCATCTGTAGTAAGAACTGTAAAATTACTTTCCAGTTGGACAAAAACATATTTGAATTTTCTTATTGATACTTACGAGCATCCAATAGGGACAAATAAAGAGTACAGTTATGACACATTATAGCTCCACAAAGTCGACAATGATGTTTCCTTCTTGCAACATGAAAACTTTTAGCACAAGTAGGACACAACTTGACATCTGTTTCATCTATCCATGGTACGATACTTTGTTCGTGTACTGCTTAACAATAATCAATTTTATACAAATGCATTAATACATCAATAATTAATAAGATCAAATATGTCTTGGACATTAATCGCATACCTTTTCTTTTGCTTGGATCAAGGGGCAAATTATATAACAATTTATCTAGTCTTATTAATAATTTGTTTGTTTCTGATGTATAACGTTCCAATCTCATGTTTCTTATTTCTTTGAAATATCTCGTGTGTGATTTAATTACACCTACGGATAGATTGTAATTAGTAATATAGGATAGATAAGATAAATATAAATATTATATGCAATTACCTGCTTCTTGTTGTTCCGTATTAATTTCTAAATTGTGCTTTTGATTATTTGGCGTACATGAAAATACTTCTGGCATTTCATCTTGTTTTAAAATTTTCTTCTTAGCTTTACCAAGTAAATCTACATAACAAAATTGCCGAATTAATTAATAATAATGTCTTATGGTGTGTCTATATGATGTGTTTATTATTTAATTGATTTATACCTTTAAGAGATTTTAAAAATTGTTCATTATTGTGAAATTCTTCAAAGTGTTTAGTCAAATTATCTGGTGCTTTTAAATCAGTCATGCATACGGGGCATAGAAATCCTTCCAATATTTGAGCATTTCCAGCCATATTTGAAGAACAAGAGATATTTTTCTTAGACGAGTAGATATTCTTTTTATATATTTTTTACCTTCATACAAAATATTGTATTAAAAGATTCAATTGTTGGCAGTTTTGCTATTTATCGAAAGAAAACTTACATATGTATATTATAACCGGCCATATTGAATTTGATCAGCTGATAGAAATGTCAAAAATGCAATGATTTTTAACAGTACTTTCATTAATTCAAAAAGCCTAATTATATAATACACTTTGTTGAGTAATTATTAAATAAGTCAAGCATTAATAATTTCAACTTTATTTTTAATCCTTAATCAATTAAAAATTAACTTAACCTATTTATATGTATATTTATAAACACGTCATTTTTGTCCGGTTTACAATTGACAACCAATGAGAAAAGCCCGAGTTGCATGAGTAACAGTAGATAAAATAGAGATTTTCATTGTTTTTATTAATTAATACATAATATATCAAATTATTTATTTCAGCAATTAAGATTATTTATTATCTGACAGAATATTTTGCAACGATACACACGTTCTCTAAGGAAACTTCTGATGAAATGTAACGAAATAATGAACCTTCAAAGCCAATGCTTTTTAAATATTCTAAACGTCCCCAATTTAATAATGTCTTAACTTTGTAACCAATTAATTGTCGTTCAACAGAATCCATGCTTTTTTCATTAGATCTACAACACACGAATATTATTAATTAAGTTTAATTATGAAGGAATTAAGAAACATTTGTAAGAGAGAGCATACCTTGTTGTTTCATTTTCATTCTTTAATTCAGTATCATTTTTTATATTAAACCCACAAGTCGCCCAACTAGCTATGCTACATAAAATTGGAAATTCGTTTGGAAGGAATTTACATTTTTTCAAATATTCTTTACCAATATAGGATTTATATTCACATTTATGATGGCAACAGAAAGCTATGACTAATCCATAATTACTGCCAATAGATTTATTATCTATTGCTTGGGTCAAACATCGTATAGCAAGATCTACAAATTCGCAAATTATATATATAACATATAAAAAAGATAATAAATATATTATTAAAAGATATACCTGTCGCGGTGCCGCATAGATGTTTAGCAATTCCAACTTTATTGACAAAATGTTTGATTTCTGGAATACTACCAAGTTGTAAATCTGCTATATCGGCGCGTATTCGTTTAACATAAATATTATGTTGTTCTTTTTTAAGTTTATTATCATTTTTGTGCCTATGACTCGAACGATCTACTAACAATATACAAGAATCTTGTTTTTCTTTTGCAACTTGTGCTAACCAGTAAGTTAAATCACCTGTAAATAAAATAACACATTTATCTTTATTTTAATACAATCTATTTGAAATCCTGACACATTAGAAATTATACCTTTTCCAGCTCCAAACTCAATGTAACAAGTATTATTATTTACAAGTTCAGCTTTTTCTAAATGTGCCAGCAAAGATGAATTTTGTGTTAAATGCTTTTTACCATATTTACCACAGGATGAAACATTCAATGTATTTGTTAATATATCGTGATGTAATACAACATTTGGAATTTCCGTTAATTTTTCTAAAAAAAAAAACTCATTATTTTATATAATGAAAGTAATGTAATATTATATTACATATAAATATGTATAAACTTTATATATATACCATAAGCTTCGTTAATTCTTAATATTATATTATCTACAACAGAAATATCAAGTTGAGAAAGAGGTAAAAGTCTTGATATTTCTTCCGTTTCATTATCTAAATTAATATTTTTAATTATATATGCTGGTCGAGCATCTAACATCTTTCGGGCATTGCATATCGTCAAATGTTTAGATAACTTTGATTGATAACATGTACTGAAAATAAATTATAAGTTAATACGAGAAATAGAAATAATAATAATAATTAATTCATGAATTTCTTATCGCATTATCGGAGATCGTACAATAAAGAAAACATACTGAGTAGGATCAAGAGGACATTGTATCCTTTTCTTACAATTTTCAATAATTTCTATATCGTTGGAATTGAATGAATCCTGTTGATGTTCTCCACAAAATTTGTTACCTTTTTTAACGGTCATACGACAATATCGATTTTTTCGTTTTACAAAATACATACACCTCGACTCTTCCTCTTCCATGATCAATTTTTTAAATTTATATATATATATATAAATATTTAATTATTGTTATAAACTTAAGCGTAGTCTCAATGATATGGCGCAGGTGTTAAAGTGTAGGTTAAGAAAGCAAAATAAAGTAAAATAAATATAACCTGTTATTACATTTTCTCATACGACAAGAAATATCATAATTAAAATAATAGATCGAAATGAAGTAATATCGCGATATTTAAACGACCGTAATATTTTTTCATTTATTTTTTTTGTTTATTTTTCTTTAGAAACAAAAGAAGAATTACGAATTACCCTTTTAAAAATAATTTCAAATTTGCCACCACCAATAATAATGACTGACTATCGCAGCGCCATCTATAGCGGGAAAAATTAATTGTTAATTTAAATAGAAAATAAAAGATGGAAGAAATATCGTTAGTCGGGTTTCGCGTTTATTGCAAATTAATATAACAATAGCGATATATAAAGTGTTTTAAAAGTTAAAGAAAATTCAGGTGTATATTCGTGGTGATATCAATAAAAGAAGGTAGACAAGATGTTTCGAGAAACAGGTATTTAATTATATTATTATTTGAAGAAAAATAGAGGAAGGAAACGTTTTTATAAGTAACGTTTTTTGATGTGGTCCTCCAAATAGTATTATAAATTATTTAGAATTAGTGCCGTGTGTATTTTCATACTTGTAGATTTCAATTGAAAGATTTTCTACAATTACACCCCTCATACCATCCCTGGCCCACACCCTTATGAGAATTACTTTTAAGATTAACGATACATTATTTTTCTGCCCGATAAAGTTTATTAACCCAAGTATAATATAAGAGGACCAGAAAAACTAGATTACATTTAAGTGTCAATCATTCTCTGTTGCTCATTGTTGGAAAGTTTAATACGTTTATATATATATGAGAGATAAAAGAATATTTTTATTTTAAAGTTTCCACGAATATGATACCAACAAAACCTGTTCAAGGTAACAAAAGGACAAATACAAAATTCGTGATGTTTCTTTGTTAAGTTTTGTTAGGCCCCCCTACAAAATAGTTGAAATACGTAACAAGAAGGAAAGAGAATGATTGAGTGAAAATAAAGAAATAGAGAATAAATAAAAGATTATATCTTAGAACGTTAGTTAGGTAATATTTTTATAAGATCAAACTCTTCCTTCCGCAAGGGTCAATAAACGTTCTACATAATAGACCTGAAAAATATTTGGTACATTTCAATATGTTAGATAGAAATAGTTACGCGATAATCTACGCACGTAAATATCTATATTAAATATATTCATTTTTTCTTGTTGTTCTTTATCGAATAACAATTTATCGTCGCCATCATATATATATATATATATTATCAACAATGTTTCTACATTAGAAAATAAATGGGGGTGGTGGTGAATGCTAGGGGAGAGGTAAAGTAATGTGCGTGGCTTATTATTTAACAGGGGACACCTTATTGTTAATTGTCCTTCACAAGGAAGCGGATACATCTTGTTCCATATCGCTCAAAGTATTGTACAATCGTGTCTTCAAATTATCCGGAACAGATGCACGTGGCAAATGAGCAGTATCCCCGGCTGGATTAGCACACTGTCTTAAAAGAACAGCGAGTGAACTAGTGGTATGTTCTGACATCAATAAACCAGGTAGAATGATAGTTCCTGAGAGTGTCCAACCGAGAAAAATTTTCTCGCATATGATCTAGAAATAGTAAGAATGAACGATATAATAATATTAGAATTATCGTGTATATATATTAAGGGTGAACTCAAAAATTCGTGCGTGTTTTTTTTATTTAATTAGTTATTTCTCTCGTCCAAAATTATAATTCTTAATAAGGTATCACAGGGAACTTGGACATAAAAAGAAGTAGAACTTAATTTAACTAAGTTGGACGTTTCGTCCCTTTATTGGGACTTCTTCAGCAATTTAATCTTTTTTTTTTTTATTATTATTAATAAGTAAATTTTACAAAAGGAAAAAAAAACAATTGATCATGCGCGATTTATAAGAACAATTTGTAACACAACAAAACGTATGTAATTTTATTTTGCAGTTCACCCTAATATTATTATAATTTAAATGTATAATATCTTTAAACAAATGTTTATATTCGTTACAGATTGTACCTGTAGATTATTATTAACAACTGGTGATTCGCATCGTTGATTTTTCGAGCATAAAGATCTGCAATCGAAAAAATCACAATCCTCGTGTCTCTTGCAGGTCTTCCCGTCGGCGGTGATGCGTCCGATAATGGTTTTAGGAAATACCGCGTCCAAATCAAGAAACTTGAGCTTTTGTCCACCGAGTGGTAATCCGAAATGATTTATCTTGACGTCGCATAGATAAAATGGTTCGGGAAAATTCGTCTCAAGTTCTTCCAAGAGATCCATGATCATGACGGCTAGCTTCAATCTCTTGGCCCATTCTGGTTTAGAGTCGGATAGTGCCAATGCCGTCGTAGGTGTTTCTATAGGTCTGACGTTAGCGATCTAACCTCAGTCTCGCGTCTGTCATTTAATGTCTAAACGATCGGAAAAATGTCATTAATGCCATCCGAAATTGATATGATAATTCGTGATCAAGTAGGTGTACGACGTAGTACCACCCGGTGTTGATACCGAGGTATAAGAAGACGACACCCGTCGTCTGGACGATTGTGTGTATGTTTTTTTTCTCAAGTTATTTTTTATACTTTTATTTTCTTTTTCTTTTGTTTTGTTCTGTTTTTATTTTCAAGTCGAGAAGTCGTCCTACCGAGAATTACCATGTCACTTTGGTCAGTATCAATGACGCGGGGGTTTCTTTTCTTTTTCTGTCTCTCTCTTTCTTTCTTTCTGATCGTAAACGACACGACATATTTTGTATTACTATCAATTGATTATATTATTGTGCATACTATATGGAATATTTCAAGCTAGCACCCTTAAAACTTACCAAGTTATTTTCTCTGTACCTTAAATCACGATTTAAAGGCCTAAAGCCATTATTGTGATATGAGGATATAATATAACGATATTTTTCTATTTTCTTTTTTATTTAACCCGACGATAATAAAGTATTGGTGATTAAGCATATTATATATTTGAAAACATGCACTTGTTCTCTACTAATACTAGCTGTGCGCGATCGATCCTAAAGCATTTCTACGTATGGGGGTGTATTTAAAAAAAAAAAAGAAAAAAAAAATAAATAAATTATATCCGGTGGATATTTATTTGTAATAAAACTAATCAACAATAATCCGAATTCAAATTTTATTGTAATATGAATGTGATCAATCTATTTTACCTTACGTATTCAACGGCATAAAATGTTCCACAGGTGCCGATTAATTGTGGAAAAACGTCATGATCTTCGAATAATATCGTTATCAGATATTCGTTTTCCTGTAAAAGTGGCCAAACGTTTTCCATTTCTAATTGACGTCTCTTGGTATCAACCTCGATCTTGTGTGTTCTCAAACGCGCTAGTCTTTGCATTTGTTGCGTAGTAACCGTGTAATTTAATTTATTAGCAACTAGATCCTTTATCATAATACCGAAATCTTCTTCCGTGGGAAAATGTTTGGCATCGAACGCGTCGATCCAAAATAATGACTCGTATTCTTCCGAGGTAGTTTTAGTTCTATAAATAATATTAATAATAATAATAATTATAATCGATAATATATATGTGTATTGTAAATATTAAAAAGTCGTTTCTTTTTTTTTCTTTTTATATAGGCATGACTATAATATCTACAAATATTTTAATTAATATAATAATATATTAGAAATAATATATATTTTAAAATATTGTTATTTTTAAAATAAAACCTGTAAGCTTTAAATACGAGTCTTGTAGCTTCCCAATGTGCAGAAAATACTGCTTCCTTGCCGGTATGCAATGTTTCACATGCCAAAGAATGTATGCCTTTTTCGGTGCAAAGCGGTTGACATAAAATTCCCATAGCCGTGCCATCGTTGTGTGTTCTGCACTGTAAATCGTATCGATATTTCTATTTTTTTTTTTTTGCTTTTCCCTCGTTTACATTTTTTACACTTGATTATTATAATTAAATTACATTTTACAATATTCGCGTGCATCACGTAAAAGTCTCATTACGTAAAATGTTTTCTATTTAATGTCATATCATATCATTTGAATAGTAGTTACCACGATGACAATGCATAAAAACAACTATGACATAAGACACATACACGTAGTTGTCGGAAAATGTTAAAGATTGTACACAAATACGTTGTTGAAATGTTAGATGGAAAAATAATGAAATAAATTCGTTGAAATTTATTTGAAATCATATAAATGAATATGATTATATTACTTAAGTAATGTTTTTTTAATATAATTTCAATATTTCAATATCGAGAAACTTCACGTTAATAATTGAACAATGTTTTGTTTTATCTAACAAGAGTTAATTAAAAAAAATAATTATAAAAAGATTCCAAAATATAATATAATATAATGTTAATGGAGAATCATAATTAAACAAATGAAATAATTAACCCTTCTTTGCATGATGATGGAAATTTCAATCATAATATTTAGTCAACAAAAAAAGGTACTCAAAACCCTTGTACTGTATATTTGTTGTTGCTGGCAACTTTTTAAGCGACTATTGCGTACAACAAAACGCAGTTGTCAAAAAATAGCGCTAGGATTTTTTAAAAATATTTTTCCTTTAATCTAGAGCATTAATTACATCACCCTGATTTATTTAAAAAAAAAAAGAAAAAATCATGCAAAGAAGGGTTAAATAATCTGATAATAAATAGTACAACATATTAAGACGAAATAAATGGGTTAATTGTTTGTGTCGAAAAATATATAAAGCGTGTTCCAGTTTTATTCTTAACCGAATAAATTGGAGTTAGTTCTCCAGTTCATTCATCCCTCGTAAAAATGTGGTTCGCTTCTACGAAAGGGAAAATTTGGAAAGGCGCGTGCGTATTGGTTGATCGTCTTTGGCGCATAGTCCGTTCTTTCGATCCATTACCGTGTTCTTGCATCCGTTCTCGAAATTCGCGCTAATCCAGATTCACTTCTATGTATTATACGTGCGCAAATACACAGGGAACAAATAACACGCGACTTACTATACAAGTAAGAGGGATGTAGAACAATAATAATAATAATAATAATAAGAAAAAGAAGAAGAAGAAGAATATAAGAAGAATAAGAAGAAGAAGAAAAACGTAGAAACGTTAGAAATCATATGACAACAACGATGATCAAACGTTTATAATTTTTCTTCGCGTTTTTCATCATCATAATAATTCGATAGAAGAATTATTTCATCAATTTTTGAATAAAATATTGGGAAACAACTTACCACGCTGATAACGTGTCGCCAAGCTTCTAAATTCGTGCACATTATACCCCAGTGAAATAGAAGATAGATGACAAATAGGAATGCTGATACTAGGAGACCACCTAGCATCTTGTAGTGATAGAAGAAACCGGGCAATCTCCGGATGTTCATTTTGAACAACTTTTTTTTTATTATAATTAATTTCTTCTATTATCAAGAACGAACAATTATGTTATTTTGTTGTTCGACAAGAATGAATTCAGAAAAACACCACCACCACCAACACCACCAACAACAGCACCCTTTTAATTTTTCGACAAATTTATTTAACTTTATCGTTGTATCAATCGTTATAGTTTTTGCCGGCATGTCGTTGTCTCATGTCGAATTCTTCACGTCAATGATGATCCCCTTTTTCTAACTGACTGACGACCGACAGTGCTCTATTACTAACTCGCGCGTGTTTTTCTTTTTGTATTTTTTTTCTTTTTTTCTTTTTCTCTTCTTTTCTTTTCTTTTCTTTTCTTTTTTTTTTTTCTTCCACGCACGAATTTACCCCCTTTCCGTGTAGTACAACCCAGTAGTGTAAGCGTGGGAGAATTAAAGAATAAGAGAGAAAGAGATAGAGATAGATGATAAATAGAAATAGATTTATATATATGTATATATATGTGTGTATATATATATATATAACGAGGATTAACGAGTGGGAGAAAGAGAAAGATTAAGATAAAGAAGGAGAGATATAGTTCGAGAGCTTAGGCTACTCGTGGCAATGCGGCATAATCTGCGACACGGATTCCCCTAAGTGGTGTACCGCGCACCACAACGCGTCATCACTTACTGCCGAAAGCGCCTCTGGTGGCGCGCTAACGGTACTACTGCTTTTTACTGATTGGTCTATACGTTTCAGGATCGTACATTACCCCAATTGTCACCCTACCATACTATTATACCCTCAAAATTTTCCCATAAATTTGATTATTCATTTATTTTTCAACGAAGAATCCGGCAAAATGGAATATAAGCAAAATACCGGATTTCAAGTTATCGGCGATAACGTATAATCGTATAAAAAAAAAAAAAAAAAAAAAAACGAAATAAAAGTAAGATTCGAGGGTATCGACGTCATGTGACCGATCGATTATTATTTGCTCCCCTAGCCTTCTTCTTCGATATCAGTCGATAATTGCGAGCGCAAACGCGTCACCATTTCGAATTTATTTTAACGTATACACCGAAAAACTACCAACGATCGGACCACGTTGTCGTTTAAGTAAATATAATCTTATTAGATTAATTATACTTAGACCTCGGTTTAATAATGTGCATATTTTATTTGCACCGAAATTTTGTTAACCGCGAATTTCTCTGTCTTTTCTTTTCTTTTCTTTTTTTTTCTTTTTATTATATACTTCTTTCTCTTTCTTTCTATCTTTCACAGGATAGGACGCACTTGCGTGACGCGAACGCCACGCGCAGCTGCGACCTTCGTCGCCCTTGTCCCACCGGTTGTATGCCATACGAGAGATACTCGTATTCATCATTTTCACGAGCGACGCACTTAAACGTGGTGCTGCTGCTGTTGCTGTTGCTGCTGCTGCGACGTTTTTCCTATTTTTCTTTCTCCTTCTTTTTTCTCTCATTCTCTTTTATCTCTCACAATCTTTTAACTCTTCTCACTATCGCATACTCCAATATTCTTGTACCACATATAAAATATTCTTTAATTATATTTTATCTTTCGGAGATATACTAATAAATGTGGGCCCAATCGCGTTTAAATAATTCATAAGTAAAGATTATTTTCTATTTTCTTTTGTTTTGTTTTTAAGTTTGATCTCTGGCACAAATACAATAGAAAAATAAAAGGATAATCATAATATTATTTGTGAGAGAAAGAAAGGAAAAAAGTTTCAATGGTAAGAGTGTGAAAGGGGGGGGGGGAAAAAAAGGAAAAAAGTAAAAGATATAATATAGAAAAGTACGGGTGCGGTGCGATACGGTGCTGTGCGGTGCAGTGCGGTGCGGTGCGGTGCAGTGCGGTGCAGTGGCGGGCAAAGTAAACGGCGCCGTGCGTGCGGCGCTGTGCGTTGATAGACAGCGCAGTTCAGTGTGCAGTCATATTCAAATTCTATCGAAGAAGAAGAACAAGAACAAGAACAACAACAACAACAACAACAACGTTTGTTTAATCTACGATTAAGTGATTCGAGTCTTTTTGAGAGTGGGGGTATATTTAGGGGAATAGTGATCTAAAAAATCGGTGAGTTATACTTCTGACGTATATTTTCATATTGCATTTACCTTTGACCTTCTCGCATGACCTTTTCCAATAGATTTCACGTACTACGTGCTATTCCTCGGGGATCTGTCAATCGAATCAAATGTTTTTTTTTTCTTTTTTTAAACGATACACGTTTCTTTGAGATACAAAATAAGAAAGGAAAAAAAAAGAAACAATGAGAGAGATAAAAAAAAAAGTAATCGATTTTATTGAATTTTCACGACAAAAAATTTCAAGGAGAAACAAAACAGAAAAATGAGAAAATAAAAACAAAGTAATTTTATTGAATTTTTACGATAATTTTTGTTCTCTCTTATTCGTTATTTATTGTTAATTTATTATTTATGACAAATTGTTGAAAATAATATATTTTCATTTTAAAAGATATACGTCGCGAATTAATGTAATAAAATACGACGAAACGAGAATCATTTCGATCAAGCGGAATAAGAAAAAAAAAAAAAAAAAAAAAGAAAAGGAAAAATAAATCTTAAATCAAAAGGGATCATTTTATTTGAAATTGCGCGCGCACTTTAAACTCGTCGCGAAAATTCTTGACTTTGCGCCATCCAGTATAGGCTATTTCTGAGCTATTTCAATCACGATCACAGGTCCTCGGCGTAAAAGAGAACGCGATCTATATAAAAATATACATACACATATATATATTTTATATTTTATATATATATATATATATATATATAATTTTGCAAATATCTTGTTTCTAT